GACAAATGTTACTCTCTGTTTTGCAACTGAAAAGATCAGGAGCCAAGGCCTTTCACATGAGAACACGGGAGTATGTTTCTGTGACACAGATGCTGCCTGGGTAGTATAATCAGGAACATACTGCCGAGGAACACAAAACATCAGATATCCTAAATATGCTTCTCATCCTTTTCCTCTTACGCTTTTTTAAATTTATTTGTGGATTTCCTACTTTACAAAAGCACACTGGATGGGCAAGATTTAAGATACCTTTTAAACTTTCTTTTTGGCCTCAGTGAACAGAAACAGTTTAGCTGTATTTATTTTCTGGGTCACTGTTTACTCAATGACCATGTAAATCACCTATTGTCCCCCCACACAGCACTTTGCATGTTTATTCCTGAAGTTACAGGGAAAGGACTATCCTTCCTCTCCATGTATATGAATAGTTTGTACTATAAACGCATCTCTGATGGAAACCATTTCTTAAAGGAAGTGCTCGGAAACAATTTGTCCTTACTAGATGATTTTTGTATCAAGTGCATTTCCTAGGCAATGTTTGTCATAAGGCTAAACAATTAAATTGGATAATATATAATGTCTTCTGAATCTCCTGTGCTGAATCCATTTGGATAACAAATACATGGTAATGTATTCTTCTTTGTTACATGATCTGTAACTCTTTAGCAGCAGGGAAGCAGGTCTCTGTTTCTTGTAAACCATTTCATGTTCTCTTTCCTGACTGGGAAAAGCTCTTAATGAACACTGAGTTGTTCTCAGGTCGAAACAGGGCATGTTGTATAACAAAAATGCCCACCAATAAATGGTAAAATAGCCTTGTATTGCAGAAACACTTGGCCTAGTTTTAAAAACCGTTATCAAATCTGAGAGCTGATAAAGACATAAGATTTGGGAATGACATGGAAACACCATACACTAAACGAAAATTCTGAAAATGTGTTATCCACTGTTAAATCCTATTTCATATTTGTCTCTCCATCCAAAATAGTGGGACTGAGATTAAAGCTTCAAAGGACGCTGGAGACTGGCTGCCCATGTCAAGAACAAACCTTGCTTTGCCAAATCTGTAGGCCAGAAGGAATTTTCAACACTGACTGTATGCCTCCAGAACCTAGCTCTTCCAGCTCCTCATTAGTGAAAGTATAATATGTAAAAGCTTTATAAAACTTACAGCAAAAGGTTGATTTATTGACTAGCATTTGTTATACATAATTTCTTTCTACACACAAATAGTTTGCATACTGACATTTTCTTTTATTAAGATAATTCAATATATATGGTTATTTGATGAACAGCAAAAACTAAGGAAATTGAGTATTATTTACAAACTGTTCACCTTGATCTTTCACTGTTTTTTAACTCATGCTGCATGTCTGGTCACCTCAGTCACACGGCAGTTTTTCTGTTTCCTGATCAGATAATTGTAACTTGTAAAAAAGGAGAACAATATATGTGGTGTGGTTATTTAAAATGTGGTGGTGTTCCAGGAAATATTTTTTTAAACATGTTTTATTGTAGAGATATACAAAGCACTGAAGACAACTGCCTATTACAACAAACAAAGAAACATAAACAGCTGTAGTACTGTGAAAGAAGATCTCCTCAATTTGTACTACTCTTCTCAGGGTACCCCACATTAGAAAGATTTTTTTTTTCCTTTAAACATTTGATAGCTTTATACTTTAAAAAGTAAAATGTGATGGCTCTTCTACCTTGAGGACCCAATACTATCATCTTTCACTAGGGCAAGAAGCCAAATATATCAGTCCTGATACAAAAGAGACAAACCAAAGGAGTACGAGTTTCTTTAACAAGCTTATTTAGGGATTAGTTGGCAGACAGCATACATCTCAATTCTTTATTTTTTTCTATTCCTGTATTCCTACCATAGTATTGCAGTCTACCAAGAAGCAGGTAAAGAATCCTGCTGCAGAACTGTGATATCTGTCACTTGAAAGAGAGGTTGAAAATATTTAAAGACAGACCTGGAAGGACTAGGAGACTGAGTGATTCACAGAAAAGACTTACATTTTCAGAGTATGTGCTCCTAGTTCAATAGCCAAACTTATTGAGGGTAAAAGCAGTATGGTTAACATTATATCTTCACAGCACAATTCATATCTATTTGGTGAAGCAGTTGCTTGTGTTGGTAGAGAGTTTCATAAAGAGTTATGGGTAGGAGGGCAACGCTGGCAATCTGGCTTCACTACAGGTTTGAAACTACGGCTGTGCTCCATGCACAGTGTTGTAAGGTAATGGTAACAATCAGAGGCAAGCCTAGGAGTTGAAAGGGTGAAGCCTGTAATATTTGAGGCTTAATTTTTCATTTCCTGGCTCCTTGGAAGGAGACAGGATCTCAAATAAAATTTCTGAGTATTTATTTCCCAGCTGTCTAATTGAGCATAGAGACTCAAATGGGGACGCATCTCTCAAAGATTAGAATTGCAGCTACCAATGAAAGTTATTTGATCTTTGTGCATGACCCATCGCTGTTGCAAGATACAACTACTGGAAAAGTGTAGCTCTTGATAAGGAAAATTTTATTTATGTGAGGTTCTTGAGGACCCAAACAATAGATGCAAAATATGTATTTCAGTTACATGAAATTATGGATAGGAATAATTCTGACATCAAAATACCCATAAAGCCAAATTCCAGCAGAAGCACTCAAGACTCCTATGTGCTACCTATGCAGGTCTTATTGGCATGTATCTTTTGGGTAGACAAGCAATGCTGGTAAGAGATCAGTCAACAACAAAGGATTAGCCAATAAAGGAAAAAAATAATCTACTGCTTGAGTTCAGAGATTTTTAAAGGCATGAATGGAAACTAAACTACATAACGGGCATTACATTCATCCAACTGAAAAACTTCACGTGGATCGAGAAAAGTAAATATTTTCCTCCCACTACTAAATAGATTTAAACAAAATTCTAACTTTGCAAGGTTGCAAGGTCATGCAAAGGTGCTTCTCAAATATTAGTTATGAGTTAAATATTATTCCATATATGCTTTTATATCTGTGTTTTCCATATTACCTAATATCACACTGGACAAAGAATCCTCTACAGACCTTGCGGGCCTCATATTTTACATGACTGGTTTTCAACATCCAGTATCATTTCTTGCTTCTATTATATGAATTACTGTCTTGAAATCTGCAACATTAATTAAAATAAGTCTACAGCTTTGTTTCTTTGCTTTTCTTTACTTGAATAAGACATTCTAAGTTATATACAATAGACTAACAAAAAGTATCTTCTTGCAGTCATACAGAAGGGTCAACATTTTGGCTATGAATGATCTTTCTCAAGGTTACTCACAGACTATTCATATCCATCTTCTCTAAATATCCCCAGTAATAAAGTCTTTTTAAATTAAATATCCATGCATATTTACAGAGCTAGTGCAAAAGTGATACCTCTCGAATAAAATCTGTTATAAGCTACCTTCTCCAAATACTTGTAGCAAAGGTAGACCTATGTTACACAAAGCTGTACAGGATTGCAGTAATAATTCTTCACAGAAAGAGAGTAAGGGAGGATATACACATGGGTATATAAATAGATACCATATCTACATATACATACACGCACCTGTCACTCACCACACATCTAATGATTTATATCAGTGATATGTTTTACTGTAAAGCCCCAATAGCTATCGTTTTACTGCTAAAGCTCTTGTCGGGGGTTGCCTATACTCTGTGATTTTGCAGGGGGAGAGGAAAGGGAGGGAACAGACATTGCTAGTGGCTATAGCAATAGAGCAGAGCTGCGGTAGTCTCACTAAGAGGAAGCCCAGGTGCCTTCATAAAAATCAATTTTATTTGCTCACAGAGAATTACCAATAAGAATTTTTAAAGGGTATAATATACTTGATATTAAGGGGTGGAAAAGCTGAGAAATCTGTTCGCATAACTCAAAAAAAAAACCCGTAACCCTAATTTGACCCATCTCACATGCCAGTATAGACTGCATAATTAGATGCATTACAAGGAAAGCAAACTACATTTGGTTTTTTTCAGTTTAAAAACATAGTTGTGTCCGAGACGTCCATTTTGCAAGTGTGTAGATTTCTGCTTGAGGAAAATCCCACTTTCTGAATTCAATTCTAAAATTAATCTGTTGTGTGAAAAAATACCTTTTTTATTAATTTCTATTTCATGAGGTTCACAAATTTTGAATACAGGTAAATAATACATGATAGACTTTAGGAAGATGACATGGATATTTCTGTGATAAAGATGGCTGACGAACTTGCATAGCCTAGATTTAGATACATATATATTTAATTCCTCATCATTTCACAGTTTTCAGGCATTTCCCACCCTTGATACTGTCCTCTGTTCTGTAAACAATTCCACACTATATTGCGTTGTTTTAAATTCAGTGTAATATAGTAGTGAGTCCAAGGGAAGTACATGCACGTACGAAATTCTGCAAAGGCCCCTTTCTGTGGAATGGATCATCCACATTAATATGTAGCCCTATGTATCAAGGTGAGTTTGCGTTCATTTTTGTATTTTTTGTAACTAATATTCAACATTTAGTATGTATTTAATTTTTGCATTGAAAAGATCTTTGTTTTACCAATGTGTGTGCTGTACGGGAAGAGCTAAGCCTCGAGGCTCATTTCTAATAATGAAAAAAATTTTAATATTACAGTTACATAATATTACAGCTTTGAGGGTTTTTTTTAAGTAGCGCTAGCAGATACAGAAAACTGAGGTACTCAATGCTTTTGCAATGGCTGCAGATACTTCAGTTTTATTGTTATAATTACCTCAGTAATGTCTTATGTAAAGAAGCAAGTAATTTTCTTTCCCAGTGTATTAACGTTGAAATTAAATCTATGCGATTATTGCTATTGTTTCAAAACAACACATCTCTTCCTCGAATATATACTCTATATGTTAATTTCAGAAATAAGTAGAATACATAACTAGCACTGCCCATGTGTCACAGACTAACCTCTACTTGTTTCTGGTTTTCCTTTAGCTGGTCAAGCTGAAATGCCAAGCATAATACAAGCAGTGGAGATGATCCCAATGTCAGTAACAGGACAGAAGGAAAAAGCACCAGCTTACCTGCAGGCTGTTGAAGATGATAAAGAAGACTAACATCCAGAGGTGCCGGTAAGCCATGTGCAGTCCTCCCCACAGCCAGGTGACGGAAATCAGGGCAAAGAGATAGAGGACCAACGGGATCTCTGAAAACCATAAACACAGTTTATGTGCTTTGTTAAAAACACTTTTTAATGCATTACCAATGGAGAAAGAAGTTTCCTGGTCTCCAGCCTAATCTTGGAATCTGTTCCCCAGCGGTGGGCAGCCGCATCTCTGAGGTCACCCTTCTCCTGCCCCAGGCCAGGGGGGCCGGGGCTCCTAGTGCCTCCCCGTCGGCTGGGATGCCTGCAGGAGCGCGTGGCTGGCTGCGGAAGGGCTGGGGGGCGCAGGGGACCACAGCCCTGCCCTGCAAACCAGGTAACAGGGCTTGCTTTGTGAGTGGGAAGCGCACACTGAACTTGGGTAAGCGCTGGAGAGTTCTTGGAAAGTCTGGAAATTTGGGGAGGGAATGGATTTTCAAGCACTGAGGGAAAAGGGAAAAGAACCCTAACATTATCAATAGAAGAAACTGCCAAGGCTCTGGGATTTTATAGTGTGAGAATAGCTTATTCACTGATTTGCTGTTACTTTTACTGCAAATTGAAAATGAGAAGGCACCTGATCCTATAAAAATTTAAGCAAATATCTCTATTCAGTCAAGGATTCTCTCAAAGACATCATTTGCACCAGTTAACTTCATTCACATTCAAAGACACGTGCAGAACCTGGCCTTAAGCACACAATCCAGTAGATATATATATAGCTGCATTTTATATTTCTTATTTTATGTATAATAGAAAAGATTTAAACACTGTTGAAGGGAAGATGCCGATGTAGAACACAGTTCACAAAAAGGAAAGCAGAAGTTAGCTTTCATTCCCCACCCAATTCTGTTCTTGATACTAAGGGGCAGCATGCTGGCTCCTGCTACTGACAGGATTCAGGACAGACTTCAAAGTCCATGTTTGCCCAGGCTTGCACATTTTGAGGTGCAGCGGTGCTCGTCAAGGCATTGCCCTTAGTGCTGCGACGTCAGCACAGAGGGGGGACACATTGCAGACGGGCATTGCTCTGGAAACAGCTGTATGGGAGCACATTGGGTATTTTGTTTAATATGATACAAATAGCACAGGTCATGTGAACGTAAGCAACAGCCAAAGCCAGGGCTACCTCCCAGCAAGGCAGGGAGGAGCTGCTATAGGGATTTAATGAATACTATGGAAGTGAATTTCTGAAATTAATGTTTATATTTTTACAAATGAGAGAACAGCTTGAAGTGAAGCACAATGTGAACAGGTACTGTGTTTTTTAAGTTTCCCAAACTAAAGCCTAATACTGCTCAGTAAAACCTGAGGTGCAAACCTCAGCGTGGGCTGATCTGTAACCATAGTTTGACAAAGCGACTTAATGTGACACAACATGTAAGCAAGATGTGTACTTCCTTACTGATTTAAAATGAGATCCTGTGTTACACATAAACATTACCATACTGTTAGAGAAGTGGTAACCAGAGGTGAGAAAACTCAAGTACTAAAATAAACCTAGCTCTCTAGAACAGTTAACAAAGCCTTGCTTTTTACTGGATAAAAAAAGTACTTTTTTTAACTGGGAAATTACAAATGCCATTATAGCTTTAAGATAGACACATTTTCTAAGCAAGGGACTTAGAAAGTTCAGCTGTAATCACACTAAAGGTACTGTTCTGCAGTTATGTCTGAGGACACAATAGGAATCCTCTCTAGTCTGATCTTCGATAAATAGCACCATTTCTGGGCACTAAGGGTTACTAGCTTGCCCTCAGCAGAAGGGAAGATGCAGAGTCTTGATTTCCAGGCCGGCTGTCGATGTCAGGAAACCACTCTATGAGATCTCTGGTGACGTTTAGAGACGTCATGGGTGGGATACAGGTGCCTTAGAATTAGAGTCATTTGACTGATGCCATAAGATATCTAAAGCATTTGTACATGATCAGTACATATGATATAGGATAACCCATTTCTTATGAAGAGGCAGCTGGAGGCCAGACTGGATAATCTTGGTTGTCTAAAATGACATTAGATGCCTGTTAAGCAACTAAAATCACTTTACCCATGGCGAGCCAAGACCAGGTGAAAACTTTTTAATGGTTTGAGACTACCTGAGGAACTCTGATCCATAATATAACAGTAATAATATGTGTGCATTTTTCAGAGCAGCATCGGGGAAGAAAATTAAGGCTCTGTACTTCTGTTTTTAGACTGGGAGAAACTCGGTTTTGTTAGATGAATAGAGTGGAAACAGTCTCAAAGTCCCTTGGAGACAATGGAAAAAATCCTCTTGTCCCAAAGGACTTTGGAACAAGCTTTTCTTTAAAATGCTACTAATATAGATGGCTAACATCATAATAATTTTATAATATTTAAAAATGCAAAGCCTTGTAAAGCACCAAGTAATATAGTAAGAAAGAGAGCATTAAGTATTTATTTTTTTCCTATTTTTCCTATATTGCACATACTAATGAAACAAATCCAAATACTTATTAGATGTATCCTTAACGACGTTCACAAAAAAATAAGAATTGACAACCTCATTATACTCGATGTTATAGTCATTGCCAAATTTATCGAAATAAAAACAAGAAAACATAGAGCAAAAATTTTGCTGCTTGTAATTATATAGTTCTAATGATAAGCTGAGTTATCTGTAGAATGACTTATTTATTTATACGTGCACAAGTATCACTGGAAAGAAATATAATCTTTTTGTTTAAATCTCAAAATCATTTTAGAAACTTTAGCTGTTTATAAAATTCAGCTGATGTAGTAGACTGGCAATTAATGATCACTATTGCATACATTTTCTAAACACCAAACAGATCTAAGCTGGCAATTTCAGAAAGCATCTCAGGAAGTTCAAATAATGATTTGGCCTTTATATTACTCTGTAATACAGTTCAGTTCAGGTGGGGGAAGCGGAGAGAAGAAAACAAGCTATGGGAGGACAAGCAGCAGGCAGTAGAATATGCCGAAAGCAACATCGTAATTTCTGCTTTTACTATATAAATATTACATAGGAAAAAATATCACAATATTGATCATAACTTTACACCACCAGATGGTTGAAACCACAGATTGTTGAAATAGGTGTATACGTAAAGATGAAGAAAATGGTCAAATACGCTCTCTAGATCATATATGCTTATGACTTCGTTATCTTCAAGCGTATGTGAAAAGGAACTTTAATAAACTCAATGCCATCTCACCAGAGTAAAATTACCATAGGTAAAACCATATCAAGCCCACTATATCTAACAAGATGTCTATGGAGTCTATCTTAAGGAGTAATTCTGGTAAAAGTTTACGTAATGAACACCACTGAATACTAATATATGAATTACAGGAGTTATATGTGCATTATACTGATAAAAACGTCTGAAGACACCTACTTTTTGCCACATGCTGAACGTTCATAGTTAAAGATTCTGCTTTTTTATCTTTGTCAATAACAATTGCTTCACTATGGATATTGTAAACTATTAATAAAGTTGAAATCTAGGCAGTATTTAAAGTCTCAGATGTTTGAATTCACTTCACTGACACTTTGTTCAGATAATTTGTTGTATTTTGATCAAACAAAAGCTCAAAAACTGCAACAAACATATCAGGTAATCAGCAACAAACAATCTCTTTTAAGCTTGTAAAAACAGACAACTGCATAAAGGAACAGGGTGCCAATAAATAGGCTTGAAATGAACCAGAATAGAGTCTAGTTGTCTATGGTTTCCTTCATATGGGAAAAAAATTACCCCTCCCATACAAACTCAACAGGTATTTCTAGATACGTGCTTTCACTTACAAGAATTTCACTCTAAATCAAAATTCTGCCATTCAGCTTTACACCACTTGCTAAATCTTAGGTGATGAAAGACTACGGTGGAACATTCAACTCAGCGTCAGTATGATGTAGATGAGACGTTTCAAGCAGCTTTGTTGAGCACTATACATTTGAACCATGCTAGTCCCCATTTTTTGCACTATTACCATACATTTTTAGTACTTGGAATGATGAAAGGTTTTATTTAAGCAACAGACAGTCCACCCACTCTTTAAATATAAATATATATGTATGTACGCAAATATCATCATCTTGGCTGTTCATGGTTCTCCCTGAAATATCTCCCCTCTTCCTTGACTACAGGCTGAAGAAACATGGGCAGGGTTGATGACTCAGTATAGATAAATGCAGTTTACCCAGCTCTAGTTGCAGTTTAGTATAGAGTTTGAAAACCTACTACAGTTCAGGCGTTAAATATCCACCAAGTGAAATTTCATACATTTAATTTACACAATCAGCTACATTTTCCCACTGTTTTTCACTTCTTCCCCTTTGCTGAGAAAAGATTAATTTTCCTTATAAACTTATTTAGGACACTGATTTTTCTGAAATGATTATTGTTCAGAGGGCTGTGCTGCATATAATCAAGGTTTTACGGGTGGTAAAACTGTAGTTTTACTACAGCAGGGGAGTGCTTAGAGTAAAAAGTCAAGATTTTGTCCCATGATTTACAAAAAAGTGATGCTAGTGGGATTTGAAAGACAGACTGATATAGATTCATGATCTATATTCATGATATAGATTTTCATGATCAGATTACAAAATTCATGAATCAGGAAAAGTATTAACATATTGGAAATGGACAATTTCCTCAACGGGAACATGTAAGACCAAATATTTATCCAGCCTTGCCTCCAACACTGGCCAAAAGTAGATGCCAAAAAAGCGGGCCAATCAAATATGATAATTCTCCCAGCAATTCTCCCATCCTTCAATTAGTTACAGCTCAGGAAATTCCTGAAGCAGCCACAGTTTCTCTACATTTAGTTATTTTCAGAGGACTTCTCTTTTACAGACTTATCTAGTCTCCTCTCAAACTCATTACTGTGAACTTTTAAAATTCAGAGTGCCCTGTGGCAAG